AGGAAGGTGGTGGCGCTGGGGGCAGGCAAGGGAGAGATGAGTAGAAAACGGGGGGGTGGGGGGGCAGAAGAGAGGCCTCTTACCTGCCTGCTGGACCTGGGCCTTGCAGCAAAGATTGGGAGATTAGCTCCAGGGGAAGCCTCCCATCTGCCCCCTACCCCAGCCACAACATCTAACGAAGAGAGGGTTTGCAAGTTCACAGAAGTTTGTCTAGTTGTGCAGTCAACCACAGCACCCCCCCAGCCCTTTGTGCACACAGCTATTCACATGTGCGCAGACACACACACACACGGATGCATGAACATATATTTCCACATATCTGGAGAGGCACATGTGCAGCTGGTAGATGATGGGGGGGTGTTGGAATTCAGCAAAGCCAAAGCCCCCTGTCTCCCCCTCCCGAGAACCGTCACCTGAGCTCCTCCAGGCTGCCCTAGACCCACAGTCTTAGCCCACCAGCTCCATGCTCTACGTGAGAGCAGGCAGGTTGCTACCATGCAGCGCAGTAACCATATGCAGCCACCCCAGCCCAAAGGGGAGTGGGGCTGTGCCTGTCCAGACAGGCGCACTCACCTGCTGCAGCAGCAATGGGATGATGGGCTCTGCCCTGGGCCCGGCTGGCTCCCACCAGCCTACAGCTCCCTGCCCCGACCTGGACTGGGGACATGCTGCCCTGAGTTCCAAGCAGATAGGGCACCATCTGTGGGGCATCTACTGCTTCCAGGAGAAGGGTTAATTCACCCATAGCCTTTGTGATGTCCCCTCTACCTTGCTGACTGTTAGCCCCATTGACCTTGCTATGCACAGCTGTGCCAGCCCCTGCCGTGCCCACCACCTGCTATATCCCTGCACACACATACACGCACACACATTCACAGAGCACATGTACACACACCTGTAGAGTGACCACCACACAAACTCCATGTGCATGCACACAGCACCTGTGTAACATGCAACACACACTTATGCGCACCAGAGAACATGTATGTCCAATGGAACACATGCAAAGCTGCATGTGCATGCATACAGCACACATGCACACAACACATGCAGATGCACAGGTTTACATAAACATGCATGGAGCACATGTGGGCACACAGAGCACACACGCATGCACAGCATACCACCACACATGAGGAACACACAGGCATGTAGCACAAGGCACATTACCCCCGCGTAATGACTCCCCAGCCTTGTGCGCCATCTCCCTGCCTGGGGTGGTATCCTCTCTGTGCACCCTCCAGCACCCACCACATGCAGGACTGGGGGCAGCTCAGTGGGGCTTTGGTCCCCACCACCCCCAGTCCCTGGCCACCTAGGTACAGCAAGAGGGTCAGGGTCCCACTGTGCCAAGACAGCCTCTCCTTCCTGGGTCCAGGCAGAGGGGAGGAGTTTGGCGAGCAGACCCAGCCTGGCAAGGGCTGGGTCTCCCTGCCGGGCACCCTGGAGGCAGGCGGGTGCCAGGCAGGCGTGACAGCAGTGACATGGCTGTCTCCGATCTCACATGTTCCCCCTGCTGAGCACCAGCATGGGGGGGTGGCTATGCAAGGCAGAAAGTGCCCAGAGCCCACAGGTCCCAGCTGCAGGATGCTCCCCCAGCCCATGGGGTCCGCAGGGGCTCCCCGGACCCTGGTGGCCCCCTGAGCGGGGGAAGCTGGAGGGGGCTGGGGATGCAGGGAGCCAATGGGAACTGGCCCGCGGCTCCCCCCCCGCCCCCGCCTGCCGCACACCGCCGCGGCCCACCCAAGTCGCAGCCTATGGGCATAAATTTGAGAGCCAGGCGCAGCCGGGATTGAGGGGAACCTTCCCTCGGTCTCCTCCTGCCAAGAAACTCAAACTGAAACACATTCCTCCTCCTCTCTGCCAAGAAAACAAGGAGCGCAGCCAGCGGCAGGAGCAGTTGAAGCAGGGCTGGCTCCAGACACCAAAATGCCGCACAGGAGGGGGTCAGGACTGGCCATCCCCCTCCCCCCCAGCTCCTTGCCTTTTATTTCCTGCAAACACATCTAAAATCTGTCATCTGGCTCCAGTTTCCTGAGGACACTGGGGAATGGGGAGGGGGGGGAAAGGGAAGGAGACAGAGGAGAAGGCGCAAAAGGCAGAGGGGGGAAGGAGATGTAGTGAGCTTGTACCGAAGGACGACAGTCAGGATGCCTACACTGATGGGTGTTGGAGCAGAGATGGCGGGAAGGAGGCAGAGACATAGACGCAGGCACTGACAGGGGAATCACATGCCCTTAGGAGACCTGGCTGCAAGAGGAGGAGGCAGCAGGCTGCACCCCACCACACCCTGCGACAGGGCAGACTCCCACCCCAGCTCCTGCCTCGCACCAGGAACGCTCCCTGCTCCCTACCAGCTCTGACAGCCCCGGGGCTGGCCAGCCCGCAGCAGTGGGTGCAATGTGCTGCAGCAGCGGGGCCGCCATCCAGCCCAGCACGCAGGGGTGGTGGGGGTCCCTGTCTGCACCTCAGCATTGTCCCCATCATCTCCTGCCCCAGGCCCAGGCCCAGCAGGGTTAACCGCCCCGGAGCCCCACTGTGGAGGAATGTGATGTCAGGGCTGGATTAGCCTGTACAGCCGAGATCCCAGCCGAT